GTTACATATAAATTTTGAAAAATTTAGTTTATCTGAAATTTTTAAAAGCTAATAACTCTGGAACTAATATTTTTTCAATGATGGATTGTGGAACTGGTCAATAGCTATCAAATATCGTCTCTATTTTTTTTCAGACAAGCATTCAATATTTCCCTATTTAGCTTTAAGGTTATTTGATGTGTTAGGGTACCCGCATCATACCATGGGACCTTTCCCTGGCGCACTATGTCTGAAACAAAAAATGATCATCCTAGCAAATTTATAAAATGCAGCATGCATGCCTGCTGAAGATGCATTTATTTACGCGAAGTCAGCAAATATATACATAAATTAAAATATACGAATAAATAACCAATAAACTATGAATATATTTATCGCATTTAATTTAATTCCTAAGATGAGATATAATAGTCGTTATTTTGCTTTGAAGTATCCATAGTATTTTTAATGTTTTGTAAAGGAGCCTTGTATTCCTTGTTTTAATTACAACGATAACCTGACACGATAATGATACAATAACTCTTTTTATCATCACAAATTTTTGTTAAGTCAATAGTAGGCTATGTCTTTAATAAATTATTCGAATCTCGAGAACCATTGATGAGTGCTCTTTTTTGCGTTAGGTGGTATGGTTACATTTATATACTTTTGAACAATTCTTCTGGAGGTCTTCTCTCTAAAAAAAAAATTTTTTGAGAATGCAATAAATATATAACTTAATAATAATAGAAAGATCGAGAAATTTGTCGGATAGAAGATACGCTAGAACCCTATAAATATATATATTTAAATAAAATAAAAATAAATGTAGAACAATTAACAAAAAATTTATTAACTACCAAACGTTCTAAAGAATCACTTAATTCTTGAACAGTAAAATTAGGAAAGCGAAGTTATAAAAGAAATTAAAACTTTTTTTTATCTTAGTCTTATTACCACTTTTATCAACATTACCAAGGAAAAAAGAACAACTACAAAAAAAGATAAGCGAGAAAATTCACCTAAAGGAGAAACCAGAGAAAATAATTGAAATGAAGCAGAACCAACATACATCAATTCTCCTTTGTCAAATCTATTTTTAACTTCTTATGATAGTATAAATATGCTCATTATACTAATAATTAAACCTAAGTTAACTATTAATCCTTTTTTTTTTTCCACTTTTCGGGTTATTTATGGTTCTGTGTTAATTTTCTTTTATTGGTTACGATTTTTCTTTCTTCTTGGTAAATTTATATGCAATCCTTTCTTTCCTTAGATAAGCTTCAAGTGCCTGAGTATCATTTATTTTGATAAATGTTCTTTCTTCTAGTAGTGCTATAATTCTTGGGTCCATAGTGGATCTGATGTAAATTAATTATTTTATACAGGGGTAGTTCTATATGAAAAATTAACAAATCATAATCACGTTATGTTGGCGATGATTAAATCTTAATTTTTGGTAATACAAACATGGTATATATAATGTATAATTTGCATAAATGAGATTACACATGAGATGATGTGAGAATATATTACAGGAAAGAACCGTTTTATGGTAAGCCACATGACAATTGCTGTAGAAATTGAATGATATTGTTATGGTTTTTCCGAAGAAACAAAAGAAACTATCAACCCAGAAAAATGTTTATCAGACAGAAAGAATTCAGAATCATTCTATACAATTATCATCTCTTCATCAACTGAGTTAATTAATTACCTCAAGCAAAATTTTTAAAATTTTTGAATGTTATCTCAAAGGTGGTAATCATAAACATAAATTTATATTGGAGATGATTTTTGCTGCAAAAAGAAGTAAAGGTTTAGAAGAGCCTTGGATTATGGAATATTATTATTCAATCCAAAACGTTTAATTTAGACTAGGTAATGGTTGTTGAATTATTATTCTAATTTTTTTGTTTTTCCTTTTTACCATTAGCAACAACGAAATAATGCATAAGTATTTTAGTCCCTTTAAAGATTTCAAGTTACATGTGAGAATTTTGCATGAGGTGATTTTGGCATTTATATACTACAATCACAATGATTGGATTTTATTAAATATATAATTAATAACAATCTAGACAAGGGCTATTTCTAAATAAAAAATTTAAACCTCTCAGAACCGCCGTTAATAACTTCCTGACTGTGATATTAATATACCAATAGACAACGAAAATACAGAAACATGATTGTAAAGCAGTTTTGGGAAGTCAGGATTGTAAATATGCATAATTTAGAAAAAGAAAGATGGGATCTAAATTTACACAATAGTAATAGATAATAATAATGCAGCAATATAACAATGTACCTAAATTCGTTCAATAAATCTATTTTTTTTGCAAGAAAAGTTTTTTATAGATAAAGAAAACATACACACATACATTAACAAATTGATGACACCCTTTTTGTTGTGGAAAAAGTTAAATGATAATAAAATGTGGTTCTAAAAATAAGGCCGCATAAACTCGATTTTCGGTTCTCGTAACATCCATGACCTGGTGACCCGCCT